TTTCGAACTCTTGAGCTCAAACAATCCGCCCGCCTCGGCCTCCCAGAGAGCTAGGATTACAGGCGTGAGCCACCGCGCCCGGCCTTCACTGATTTTTAAGAAGGATAAATCAAAAGAAATCTATAAGACACTTCATAGTGAAGCTGCTGAATACCAAACAGAAAGGGAAGATATTTAAAAAATCTAGACAGATAGAGAAGACAGATTTCTTTAAAGGAACAAGAGTAACAGGTAACAGCTAACTTATTACAGCAAAACAGAAATTAGAAGACAGTAGAATGTCTTCAATGTGCCAAGAGAAAACAACTGTCAATTTAGAATTCTCTACCCTGTAAATATGTCTTTTAAGGATAAGATTGAAATAAAGATATTTCCAGAAAAATTAAAATTGACAATTTGCAACTAAAAGACCACACCAAAATACATCTTTAAAAATCTACTTTAATCAGAAGCAAAGTAACACTAGATGAAACCCAAGATGCAAGAGGAATGAAGAGCAAAGAAAGTGGTAAATATGTGGGGAAATAAGATTCTTTAAATCATAATAATAATGTCTTATAGGGTTGGGCATAACTTAAAGTACATAAGAATAACATGTGTTTGTGCGTGTGAGTGAGTGTGTATAATAGTGTCACAAAGGTCTTCTTTGTGGTATAGCAAAAGTTTAGATATCATATCTGCTTAACAAGAGGAATTAGTTAATACGTCAATTTAACATTAAAAAAAATTTAAAAATTTGGCCAGACACGGTGCCTCACACCCGTAATCCTAGCACTTTGGGAGGCTGAGGTGGGAGGATCACTTGAGTTCAGGAGTTCAAGACCAGCCTAAGCAAGAGCAAGACCCCGTCTCTACTGAAAAAAAAAAACCAAAAACAACAAAAAAACAAAGAAATTAGCTGGACAACCAAAAATATATAGAGAAAAAATTAGCCGGGCATGGTGGCACATGCCTGTAGTCCCTGCTACCCGGGAGGCTGAGGCAGGAGGATCACTTGAGCCCAGAAGTTTGAGGTTGCTGTGAGCTAGGCTGACGCCATGGCCTTCTAGCCAAGGCAACAGAGTGAGATTCTGTCTCAAAAAAAAAAAAAAAAATTCCATTTTAATTTTACCTAAACTTTCACTAAAGGAAAAGGAACTAGTATGGCTAAAAAATGATTTTAAGGTTCTATTCTTACTGAAATCAATATAAAGCCTTGCAAAATGTGTTATGTAAGTACTGGGACTTGGTGGTAATTGTTTTGAAGAAATTTTAAGGAGCAGCTCACCATGTGTCCTGGACATGAATGATGATTTAAATTTAAAATGGACCATTTCTTAAAGTCAGTAAGTTAAATTTATTAAGTTTCTGATTGGTAAATTTCTTTCTGTGCTTTTAGAAAATATCTCCCCAATGGGAGATTTGAATTTTAAAAAACCTTATGGAAATGTCTGGAAGGTAGTGAATGCTGCTTCAGTAGGAAAATTATAGAAGAAGCTGGATCACTATTTATTGGGGATGTTAGTGAATTTACGTATCAAATAGAAGAAAGTATTTTTAGTAAATTTGATCCAGGGAATTTTCTCCAGAGATCCATCTTGAACTAAAAAACTTACCCCACTTTCACATAAATGATAGCATGCTCCATGGACACTAGTCACGCTTTTATTTCACATAACAATATATATTGAAGAGAGTTCCATATCAGTAAATAAATAGGTTTTTCCTTCTTTTTTTAAGGTCTCAGAATATTAATTTGTCTACATGTACCATTATTTATTTAATTGGTCACCAATTGAGAGACATTTAGGTTGTTTCCCATATTTTACTATTATAAACAATGCTGTAATACACTTGTGTATAGTCTTATGTATGTGTCATTTTGTATATTTGAAAGCATAGCTCTCTGTAGCTATAAATTCCTAGAAGTACTGCTGCTCGTTCAAAGTTACATACTTTTGCCAACACAGTACATAATCAACATTTTTGATTGCTGATAATCTGGGTGAGTTTTAATTGTAATTGTGTTATTATTAATGAATTTGAACATCTTTTTGTATGTTTCATAGGCACTAGTGGTTCTTTTTCACTGGAAAATGTTTGATGATTTATTTTTTTAATAGACCTTATTTTTTAGCAGCAATTTTAGCTTTACAGAAAAACTGTGCAAAGTATGGAAGATTTCCATATACTCCTTGCCCCACCCATGAAATTTCTCCTATTATTAATATCTTGCATAAATGTGGTACATTTGTTTTAATACAATTGATGAACTAATATTAATATATTATTAAGTCCATATTCTACATTAGAGTTCACTTTTTATGTTGTACAGTCCTGTAGATTTTACAAATGTGTAATGTCGTGCATCCACTATTATAATATCATACAGAATAGTTTCACTGTGCTAAAAATGCCTTGTGATCCACCTATCTATCCTTCCCTCCTCCCCACTGAGCCCCTGGAAACCATTGATCTTTTTGTTTTCTTTATAGTTTTGCCTCTTCCAGAAGATCGTAGTTGGAATCAGACAATCTGAAGCTTTTTTGACTGCTTTCTTTCACTTGGCAATACACATTTAAGTTTCCTTCTTGTCTTTTTATAGGTTGATAGTTATTTTTGTTGCTGAATAATATTCCATTATATGAGTGTACCCTAGTTTGCTTATCCTTTCAGCTATTGAAGAACACCTTGGTTGCTTCCACTTTTTCACATTCAAGTGCAGCTTTTTGGGTGGACATGTTTTCAACTAATTGAGGTAAATACCTGGAAGCATGATTAATTAATCGACTAATAAGCATATGTTTTGCTTTGTAAGAAACTTCCAGATTATTTTCCAATCTACCCATACCAATTTACATTCCCACCAAAGAAATGAGAATTCCTGTTGCTTCATGTCCTTGTCAGATTATAGAAACGTTTTTTTCCCTTTTATTTCCTCATTGAGTCATGACCAGAGTCCCAGCTGATCATTTTATGTCTTCCTAGAGAAGCCAGAGGCAATTGAGTATGTGTGTGTGTGTGTATGCGTGTGTGTCTGTGTGTGTGTGGGGGAAGAAGGAACATTATTTTAGTATAAGGAGAGTTTTGGAAACAAAACAGATCTGAGTAAAAATCCTAGCTGTTTTTCTTTTAGCTGTATGATTTTTGTACAAGTTATTTATTACCCTTGAATCTTAGTTTCTTCATATTTAAGGGAAAAGCAGAAAATATCCATGTCCTATAATTTCTGAGTATTAAAATGAGATACCAGATTTTCTGATATAATACTGAATAGAAAATAAATGTTCATTAAATGGTGGCTGTCATTATTAATATTATTACATTGAAAATTATATCTTTTAAAATTAATATAATCAAAGGGAAAAATCAATTAATGAAATGTATTTATGACAACTTACCCAAATAATGTAGAGTTATATATCCTACAAGACCCTTGTTTCCCACAGCTGTTCATGGACCACTTCATACATGTTCTATCAATCAGAACCCCAAAATATATTGGAGCTAGCATTCCTCCTACAACATGAGATTAGAAGATGTCAATCCAAGGAACATTTTTTCCTTAGAAAAATATAAGTAGGTGACATTTCATATTCATACATTTTGGATTAAATAAAAGTTGATGATTTTGGAGAACTCTCTCTCTGTTTGGCCTAAATCTACCCCCAAATCAAGATTATTAGGAATCTCAAAGGCTTAAATTATATGGTAATATTATAGACATTTTTTATCTACCCTTCAAACACACATGGGGAAGAAGGAACATTATATGCCTATACACTCTGTTCTTCTTATAATAATATTAACATGAGCTTGATTGGTAAAAAGGAGAACATCGTTAGTAAAACATGGAAGTTACGTTGGTTCATATATAATTTTTCTTAGGCAAGAGGAGCTCAAATAGTGAAAGTAGAATTATAACTTTATGGGGAAAGGAAAAAAATCTCTCAGCTCAACTGCTGTAAAGGCAGGAGTTTTTCCAAAACTATTTTAAGTGAATGCTTATACCAGGACTCCCTTCCCAAAGAAGTGTAGGCCCACCTTCAGAGAGGGCTCAGCTCTTGGCAGGTTGTACTTCTTTCTGGATTCAGAGGTCTACTTTCCCCTTCTTTGTGTCATCAGAGCCCACAACCAAAAATTTTCTCTCCATTGATTTTGTTCATTTTTAATACCTCCTGAAGTCACCTAGGTTGTGCAAGTTGGGGTTTTGGGTGCTAAATTTTGTTTCTATTAGTGTTCTGATCACATTGATGCATATGTTTTCAGTGGTTTGTCCCTAAGCCAATTTTTATTTGTAGCAATTTTTATTTTGCAGAATGCTAGGCTTTTCAGGAACATATATGTTGTTTATAGTACAAGTGTCTATCTGCTCTTACTCTTATTTTAATAAACTCTAAGATTGGCTCCTTGTTCTAAGCATAGGTAATTTGATCAAAATTTTGAGAGACATGCTAGTAGAGATCTATCCTTCACATGGTAGAACTAAAGTATTCATGATTTTACTTTGTGCTTTTTTGTATTTTGATGAATGATTTTCAGATTTTATTTTGTCACGTAAAAAATGATGGGGATTCATATATTACAATTTTACTGATTCCATGTACTTTTAATCCGTCTCAATTTTCTGAGAGTGAGAAATCTTTAGAATGACAAGGGACTGGTGTCTAATGCCAACGTATGTGAGGAAAATTGGTATTGAGAAAATGGGTGAGAAATTTGCAGGTTTCAAAAAAAAAAAAATCACAGTCACCCTTTGAAAAATAAAAAATATATGCCAAAAATTTATTTTCTTCTCATAATGCCACTGTTTTGAACACAATGAATTAAATGTTCTAAGTGACAAACTTGGTCTTAATTACTAAAATTTTAAAATTCTAATAACCTATATTATAAATAAATTTTTCAGTTTAATACACTATATAAGCCTTACACAATTTACACATATATTGTATTCAAGATAATCATTGTAAATTGGAATTTTGATGCTCAGCATGTATTTTTTCCATAGAAGCATTTAGGTTCCATTGTGCCACATATTGGACACGTGAAAATAGGATGCTCACAATTAGGATGGCAAAATTTATTTTTTTATATTTTATGTTGCTAAAAGAATTTCTCTCATTCTCATAGTCTCATTTCCACATATCAGAAGGAGTACTAACTACTCAGATTCTATTTTTAGCCTAGGTTCTAGGAGTAAGGCATTTTTATTGAACATGAAGGTAGAAATCTGCCAGGATGTGCAGAGGCTGGAAGATTAGAGATATACAAAAGAGAACGCTAGGAAGAGAGCTGATGGGATCCTGCAGCACCTCATTTTCTTCTTTCTCTTATTCCTTTTATAGTTCTTTTTTGCCTTAGAGGATCTATGACCTTCACCCCAAATACACTTCTTAGACAACCTCTCCATTGCAATTGGGCCATAGAATTGTACTTCTTTTCTTTGCTTACAAGAGTCCTAGGGATTGACCTCTCCCACTTCCCTTTCCTTCTGCTGTCTGTGGTTGCCTCTGGGCCATAATCAATCCTCTGCTCCATCTCTAGATTAATGATGCCTTTTTCCTATTTCCCATAAATAAGCATATCATGTTTATAGTTCTTACAAGGAGGTTAGGTTAGAAGTTGTTTAACAACAGCAGGCATCTGTACGATAAAAATGGCAAATGGCAACAAGGGAGAAAGAGTAATTTCCTAAATTCTTTACTCATCACCTTTGAATATTTAGAAATAGGCCTTTAGCCCCTGGAGTCTACAGTCCTACTGTTTGCAAACATAAATCACAATTTTCTGAGCTTTCTTTTATTCAGAACACTCTCTTAATCCAAGATGCCCAGTTCTAGAGTCTGAGTTCTCATTCTCTTTTGCATTTTTAACTACTGATAAAGGTTATCTGCCCAGCCTTCCAGAACTAGGCAGTGGGAAGTGGCAGTTAATGTCAGCTTCTATTGTTTTGCACCTCAGCCTCACCAGATTCCCAGGCCTCCCAAGCTGCTTTAGGCCTTCCTTAAATAATGCCTCAGTTTAGATGGAAGGCCCTCCAGTCTGAGTCTGTGCAAGAAATATTCCTATTTGTCTGAAAGTGGAAAGACTTGGGGGACCTCTTATCTTTCTGTTAGAAAGAGTATAATACAAATATGATGATTCCTTGGTCTTAGATGGAGTTTAACTAGAATTAATAATCAAGTTCTCCTTTAGGTCACTCAGTTTTTGTTTGTCTCTTGCCATTTTCCTTTACCACAAAATAGAAATAATTCTTACTTATTCCTTTTTTAACTTTTCCTATAATTGAAAACTAATTACATTTGATCTTTAAGTTTTGACATGAATATTTATATCTTAAATTTATAATCTATGTATTTGCCATACCTAGTGTTCGTATAAACAGTGAATGGAAACCCAAGGCAAGTGATTTCAATTCAGGTTGCACATTCCTGAAATAAGATAAAGGCAAAGAAACATTAAACATTGTTAAAATATCAAACTGTGTTCAATATTAAAACATCTCTCAGTATTGTTGATCTTCATGATAGAATGAAAACCCTGAGGTGAATGGTTCACGTTATATAAAGTTATATCTTCAATTGTTTTCAAAAGGCAAACATTTTGATGATAATAATTATTTTTTTATTTATTCAATTCATTATGATTTCAAGACACTGTAACATTTTCACATTTTGTACTTATGAAAATCCTATGAGAAAATATTTGGAATGAACTTTTGTATGGCTATGAAGAAACTAATTTCATACGGTCTATCCAGGCAAGACAGCTCATAATAAAACAGCAAATACTTTTATCTAGGTGTAGGTCTTAGCAGACCTCTTTTTACTATCTTATTTCTGTCATCAATGCTAACAGAAAAGCTTATTAATATGATTCATACATTACATAATGCAACCAGAGGGGTCAATAAAGTTATCTGCATTCTAGTGTCTATTGTATTTAACTGTCACCTTAAAAGTGAGGATGTATTTACATCCTCACTTACAAATTTGCTCACTCTTGAATTTAGAAAGCTATTTCCACAATTCCATTTTTCTGTCTTCCATGAGCAACACTACCTCCCTGTGATGACCTAATACATATCAAAATTTCTGAAATAAAATTATCTGGCAGTACTAGAGGGGGTGGCCTGGGATGGAGAAGGTGACTTAGATACCACTTTTACTGAAATATTAAATTAACTGATACAAAAGGGTTTTTTTTCCTTGAACTATTTGATGGCTGTATTTGTTCAGAGACCTAAGAAGATATTGTCATTTAGCAAACATTTACTAAGCGCCTCCTAGAAGATGCCATGCTAAGTTTGTGTTCTGGAAAATAAAGCTCTCCATGATGCTTCAGATCAACTAAGTGACTTGGAGAAGTAAGTCATTTAAGTTCTCTCGGCCTCATTTTCCTTATATTCTAAGTGGGGATAATAGTGCTTATCTCATATGTTGTGAGAATCTAATACGATAAGGTAGCACTCTAAATCTCAATTTTATTTACACTTAACTGCCCCTAAACCTTGCAAGAAAGCTACCATTTATTGAAGTTCTCAAAAGTATTCGAGAAATCTTATAAAATTAAAAAGTGCAAAAATTAAAAATTGCATGATAAAAGTTAAATGTGGCATAATTATGTATTAGGAGAAAAAATAAATAAAAAGTGGTTTGGGCTCTGCTTTTGCAAAGGACAGCGACACTTTGCGAGCCCAGTCGAGGACACAACACTACACTTGAGGGCAATGAGGCTGTGCCTACTGTTCAAGGAGGTGGTTTCTTCCATAAAGAGATTGTCAGGAGGAAATTACAGGAAGGGGAAGTTAACTTATCTACTGAGCACCCTCTCTCGCTCTCTCTCTCTCTCAAACACCAGATTTCCCAAGGGAGATTTTGGGAAGGGAGAGATTGCAGTTCATTTCTGGTTGAATTCTCTGACAAGTGCCTGATGTGCCATTTTTCAGTCATTGATTTTCAAAGGGTGCTCTTGGTTTACATACTAGACACACAAGAGGCAAACTGACATGTGTTATCAACTTGTAGTTTCACCCAGGGAAAGGATTAGCCTGCAGGAGAATCGGGAGGACTTGCGGATAGGGATAATAGTTTCCTAAAAGTGGCCTTGAAATCTTCACCAATACAGCGGAAATGATAGGTGTGTGTGTGATATAGTGACATACATGTACAATAACAATCACACACACTCACTCCTACATGCACATGCACACACACTCACACTCCCCCCACATGCTCATACTCACGCACACACCCACACATCATTATCATGCACGATATTTAGCACTGCAGTGTGACTCCTCCTTCACATGTGATATCGAGCAGTTTTGTATTTTGATGCATCTCTACCAGGATCAATTGATCACAAAAAGCACCCCCAGAAGCTAAATATGTTATTTTCATTTAATTATTGGAGAAAATTTTCTTAATACAACAGATTCCGCTTAAATTGATCCTCTGTTGTTAGAATGAGAATTAGCCATCAGGACCTGCTGTTTCTTGAGATGATTACCAATTAGACCTAACAGTAAAACCCTGTTAATAGACACCATAGATGGGGAATGTGTCCTGTTTGCAAAAGATCGACAAAAAGCTCTCATTCATTTCCTAGCTGACATAAATCATTGAAATGTAAATTTAAAAAAAGTTATAAAACACTGCTCTCATTTGGGCCATTTAGGATTGATATTTTGTTAGTCATAAACTTATGTCATGTCTCACATCCCTGTCACCAGCAGAATGCCAAGATTCTGAGATCATCTCTGGGTACCAAGGCTCTCACTCCACATGGTTTAATATATCCCTTAATCCTACTCTTTTCTCATCACTCAAATCCTTTCATTGTGCTCCCAGGAAATCATGTCTGTTACCAGCAAAATTCTCATATCCTACGTTCTTCACACTTCTTTCACTTTCTTGTTCTAAACAAAACCTGGCTGTCTCCCAATGACTCTCCCTGCAACTCTTTCAAGGAAGGGCTGTTTTTCTTCCGCATGCCATGTATCATTGGGCCTGAAATGTAGGTGTCCTTCTTGATGCTTTTTATCACGTCCAGCCCCATGTCTCTCCCCTGAAAGACCTCCAGCTCCCATGAAGAGGTGCACCATCCTAGCAGACCATTCTCCAACCTCTTTGTTGAAGGTCTCTAGAGACTGGCACATCACCAGCCCCATCATTCCTTGACTATTTTAGTTCTAGGCTCTCTTGTCATTTTTTCCAAAACAATTTCTGCCACTTTTCCTAGTTATTTTAAATATCCATGTAGACCATCCTCCCACTGCTCTGGTCTTCCAGTTTGTTGATCTCTTCTCTCCAAGGTCTTATCTCCTCCACCCCACAGTCAGATCAATCAGGACACACTTTCCTGATTCTCCCTTTTGAGCATCCCTGTCCTCATAACCACCTCCTGACTGTTAAATGTACTCCCACAAACATACCTGCTGCAACAAGCCTCAGCCCTGCAGGGCTCTTCAGGTCTGTGACTACCCTGACCTCGTCACAGGCCATCTCTAATTTAACCCCTTCACTTCCTTTCTCACCCTGACCTCTCATTGTGATCACTCTGCAAACACCCTTGACCTTTTTGTTCCTCTTATCCTTTATTGTACTAGACAAGCAAAAATCCTTTCATCCAATCCTCTGCCTTTTCTTCACCTATATCCACAGAGCTGCATTGCTGAAAGGAATTATTCAAACATGCTAACTGGGCTCACTTTACATTGATAAGCACAAACCTTTGGTGGCCTCCAGTACAATCCTACTATATTTTACTAGTCCATTTTCCCAGTAAGTACATTCCTCCAATCTTCAAGATTACTAGTTCACATTTCCTTATCTTATCTCAAGCCTCTTGCTTTCGTTCCTCCTCACTCTCAGCTGATCACCTTGCTTTCTATTTAACAAACACAAGCAATTAGAGAAGAATTCCAATGCTCTTGCACAACTAAAGCTACACATTTACCTGCTTTTTACTCACATAGACAACATTCCCTTCTACTACAGAGGAAGCTCTGTGTACTTGTTTGGTGTACTTGTTCACTTGTTCCCCATCCTCTGAAATTGCTCCCCCTGTTTCCTGCATTATTGACTTCCTTCATCTCTACCTGATAATTCTTGTCAGTATGCAAGCATGCTATTATAGTCAGCTTTGGACATAAACAGAACTCTTGATGTCACAACCCTGCTAGTTACTACATCTTTTCTCTGCTTCTTTTTATAACACTACTTCTGAAAAGAATTTTCCATACTGGCTGTTTGCACTTCCCCTTCTTGCATTTGCTCTTCATACTTTTCAAAACAGCCTTCCCTGCCCCCCATCATCTTCATGCACTACTTTTGTTTAGGCTAAGAGTGACTAGCACCTAACGAAATCCAATGGTCACTTACTAGTCCCTAACTCCTGTGAACTCTCAGCAGGCCTTGACACAACTGCTTACTCCCTTCTTCCTGATACATTCTTCATTTGACTCCTGCGACATCACCCTTTCCTAGTTTCTCTCATAACTCATGGGATGGCTTTCTCAGTTTCCTTCACTGGTTTCTCCTCTTATCCTTGATCTCTGAAGAGAGAGTGCCTGGGTCTTGGTCCCAGGATCTTGTTTCTATCTGTATTCAGTCCCTTCAAGATCTCATAGCACCATGGATTTAAATATCTTGCTGACTCCAAAATTTATGTCTTGGGCTCTGATGTTTCTCCCGAATGTTGGATTGTATGTGTGACACCGTCACTAGATATCTAATAGACAACTCAGATTTATATAGAGAGAACAAATTGTTGCTTCTCTACTTCCTCCAACCTATTCTTCTTAATCTTTCCCATTTTGTTCAATAGTACCACCATCCTTGTAGAGCCCGGGCCAGAACCTTGAGATCATTCTTAAATTCTCTTTCTCACATGCCACATTCAACCCATCAGCAAACCCTACTGGCTTTGCCTTAAAAAAAGAAAACAAAACCAAGACTGAGACTCAAATTACTTCCCACTTTGCCATCACCATCCTCAATCAAGCCCCTATCTTGAACTGATCATAGTCTTCTATTTTCCCTAATTCCATTATTGTCCCCCAAAACATTTTTCACACACAGCCAGAGTGATCTTCTAGTTAGGTGCATCATTGTGCAGTTATAATGCTGAAATCCTTTGGAGCTTCTCAACACATTTGGAATAAACTGCAAAGTCCTTCTCGTGACCCGTATGACCTGGCCATGCTAGCTGTCTTGCTGTGCTTCTTACCTCTCTCTTCCTTATGCACTTTTCCTGACCTTGGATAGCCAGGTGTGCTCTGCACCAGGGCCTTAACCCTTGCACTGCCTTGTCTGGTTTGCTCCTCCCCATTCCCCTGTAGCATCGCTTATACCTTTACACTTCATCCCTTCATTCATGTCTCTTACCAAATGACTTCCAATGTAAGATATCTAAACTGGTATCTCTTACCTATCCTCCCACGTTTTCTATTTTCTTACTCTAATTTAATTTTCTTTTTGGTGCTTAAAACTTACACTATTTTACATATTTACTTGCTCATTTGTTTGTTGTTTCTTCTCCTACACTCATCACCCATCCACTCCCCCATCCCCCACTCCCACTGGAAACAAATGAAGCTTTGTCACTTTTGTTCATAGTTACGTCGTCAGTGTGTAGAACTGTGTATGACACATGAAACGAATGTATATAGAATGAGTGAGTGTTATCACGCTTGCTTAGTCTAGTTTTAACAATAGCCTTATGATATAAGCATCAGAAAATCATGAATAGACTGAAGTTTATATTTTTACTGTATTCAGCTTTCACAAAAAAGTTTGATTTCAATGAAATCACAGGCTGTGAGAGGTTAATAAATGTTTTTGACAAATGGTAATGTTGATTCAACCCATTTTCTTAATAAGATAAACTATAACTATATCAATGATGGAACTGTGTTTTTAAAACTCTGTTTCATGAATGAGTTTAAATGAAGAAGCTAAAATCTGTTGAGCTTCAAATTAGTGTGGAGTTTTGAGGTGATTTTTCTATAAGTTAATCAATCTGTAATTTGGTAAATATGGAAGGCTTCTCCTTTTGAGTAGGCAACATTTTATAGTAAGGTGGAGCTATATCTGTGAGATAAATTCGTATAAATAATTTGACAAGATTTGGGGTCAGGGTAGAATTTAAATGACTGCAGACTCAGTTAACACATCTATATTCATTTTAACAAAAGTCAAAAACACATTTTTTCCTCCTTCCATGTCATGCTGTTGGCCAATGGTGAACTTGTGATCAACTAGGTAGGTTTTAAAAGTATAATTAGGTGTTAACCCAGGTCACCATACTTATACATGGATACTTTTAAGATCTACATACAAGTCTTTACGTGTTTTCAGTTTTGGGTGACTGAATGATTAACTTGGCCAATAGGGCTTATATTGTCTGCTTTCTCCCTACCTTTCTGATCTTTTACCCTGTGCATCTCTCCCCCTCTCACTCAGGATGTTCCAATCAACTTGCTTCTTTTCCTTCTCAAACACATAAGCTCTTTCCTTCCTTAAGGCCTCAGCACCTAGACCCTCTCCCTAAAAAGCCTCTAATTTGGCTAGCTTTTTCTATAGACCCTTAGATCCAATGTTACTTCTTTCGAGAAGTATTCTCTGAGTCCCCTCTTCCCTCACACCTCACAGCCCCACACTTCCATCCCAAATTAGACTTTTCTTTTTTTTGTTTTTTAGAGACAGGGTTCGCTCTGTCACCCGGGCTGGAATGTAATAGTGTGATTGCAGCTCACTGTAGCCTCAAGCTCCTGGGCTCAAGCGATCCTCCTGCCTCAGCCTCCTGAGTGGCTGGGATTATAGGCAAGTGCCTCCATGCCTGGGCAATTTTTAGTGTTATTATTTTGTAAAGATGGGGTCTTGCTTTGTGGCCTAGGCTGGTCTCAAACTCCTGGACTCAAGCGATCCTCTCACCTAGGCCTTCCACAGTGCTTGGATTATTTGCATGAGCCACTGTGGCCAGGTTTTTCATCCCCTTTAACAGCAATGTTTTTCCTCTTTAGTACTAAGAACAACTTGTAATTATGTGTCTAATTTTAAGTTCATTTGTCTCATGTCAGTTTTTCCTACTATTTTCTAAGCTGTAGAAGCTGTATGACAACAGATACCTTATCAGTTTTATTCGCCATGAAATATTCTTCACCAGGCATAGTATCTTGTCTAAATATCTGTCTAGTGAGTAAAGAAAGGAATGAATCCTTTTCATATATTTTTCTTTTTTCTACTAGGATATGATGGAAGACTAGACCAAAAGCCATGCTGTGAATGGATTAAAAGCTTTGGAATTCCATTATAGACTGAAGTTTACATCTATATCGGATTCTCAAATGTTTTCTTTCAATGAAATTAATAGATAATTTATCCTGACAGTCCCAACAGAATGCAACTCAAAATTAAAAGTTATTTTAAATCATACAGAGATTATTTTACAATTGAGGAAATTGTCAATCAGTTAGTGTGTTAAGATTCTTGGTAAGAGGAGGAAGTATGTAATCTAGATTTCATAATGGAAGAATCAGAGGCAAATTATTATTAATAATTATGGCATTAAGTATCATTATAATTCTAAGAAAATGCATTCTTAGAAAATTAAAATGTAACAAAACGTGAATTTGAGTTCCAAATATGTTATGCAAAAATATATATATCATTAGGTGTGTTTATAATCCAACATATATGAAAATGTTTTAAAAGGTCATACTTACTTAACAGCTAGCAAGATGTATGTGGTACTTCCAAGTGCTGAGCAAAAAGCATTCAAGACTTGCACTGCTATATAAATGTAAAATTTCTTTTTACAAGCATCGTCTCTTGGGCATTCACCCAAATGGCCCGAGTAATTTCTGTTGTGGAAACCAGTTTCTTCCACACAACTACAATTATAAAACACCTAAAAAATAGTTTTTGAAATATCATAGAACACATTTACAAAACACAACAAGGCTATAAATACATTCCATTATATTTAAACAAGTTTCATTCATTCAAACTAAAATATTTACAGCTTAAAAGAATTCTACAAATGCAGTTGCTTAATAATTGAAAGGCAAAATAGTTTCCTGGATTCCTTTGTAGATAAGAAAATACAATTTACTGTTAACACTTAATTCATTCTCAATTTTAAAATTAGGAATGAATTGAAGAAATTAGTATCTGAAATTACATATATAATTTTCTCATTAACATATATATTTTTTTAATATTTCTCTTCCACCTAGTTTTACTTTCTATAACAAGTTTATTATTCTCTTTAACAACGCCTATTAAATTAGAGGGACATGTCCTGGGGAAGGATTACCCAAAGAATTCAGAAGATACAGCTATGTGGGAGGAGCCAAAATCTGGAACTAGAGCCACTCATGAGACTAGGTCAGAGTTCAGGGGAAATGAAGCCAGGCAGGGGAGCTGGAGTTCTATTTTAGCAGGTAAAAACAACATCCAAGAGCATAATGACAGGTAATCAAGTAGATGATGTTATTACCAGTGAGGTGCAACACAACAGAATGCCTTGACCAATGAGTAGAGCACAGAAGGGGAAAACATAGGAACAAATGATTTTAGAGACTTAATCAAGCAGGAAGCTTATGTAGATAGGTGGCTTTAATAGATACTGTTCTGATTCTAGGATAAACTAAAGTTTAAGGGAAGTTGTCCTTGAACCTGTTAGTGGTAAAGACTAATTACTCAAGGAGGAATTGTAGAAGAGTTTGAATCCATACTTGTGTGATTCTACCAAGCTTAATTTTTTAGTTTTTTACCTTTTTTTAACTAGGAATAATATGGAAGAATTCTTTATGGTGCAAACATATGGCCAATAAAACCAAACTTTGGTACAAAGAACATTCTTTTAAGAAGAGATGGTTTATTTCTAAGGATTTAGTAAAAGAACTTTGCAGTAGCCCCCAAATGGAATTGCCAGTATTAAGAAGGTGATGTCTCCGTGGCAGACAGAGCCCTCCTTGGGATTTTAATTTTATGCCTCTTTCAGACCTTCACTAGGGGGAAAAGTAGGACATGGATTAAATGGGGTACACTCAATGAAAGGCACTATAACCATGAATGTGAGATATGGGCTTTTAACTACAGCCTTTGGGCCATTTTTATGTTGGGTTATTAAAGTTGTGGCCTATCTTCAAAGAACTTAGGGTGTTTTATTCTTCAAAGTTCTCCATACCTTTCCATAATACAATTTGTAGGACAATGGGCAAGGGAAAGATGGAAAATGAAAATCAAACATAGAAGGGTGTAGTAGAGAGCAATAATCATAGCTGATTATATTACTAATGTTGGTAATAGGAAAGGGACCTGAGAAATATATATATTCCTATTACCTATATATATATATGTGTGTGTATATATATATAGGTATTACCTATATATATATATGTATTTGTGTGTGTGTGAAATGTTGAGGGGATTGGAAGTATGGGGAGCACCACACCTGATCCCAACTATTGGGAATGATCCAGGAGATTGGGAGAACCCATAGTTGACATGAAAAGAACTGTTTTGAGTGAAGATAGAAATGACATTTCTATGGGATATGTTGGCAATAAGTGAGCAGGATATTAAATTATCCTGGGTAGGAGTGCCTGCTTTCAGGAAATCAAGATTGGAAATCAAGAATTGGGCAGTCAAGTGATCATGAAGCCTTGATTTATTTCTTAGAAAGTCAAAAGAGTAGTGAGCCCAGAGCTAAATTCATCAGAATACAAAATTGCATATAGATTGTTCTCCTAGTGAGGTAGGTAATAGTGACAAAGGATCAACTCAGGACCTTCTCCTAACTTATGCAGGGTAAATAATTCTGACTTAAACAGAAATCATATGCTTCAGTCAAAAGGAGGTGTTCTTAGAGAAACTAAATGCTTTCAAATTTGTCATATTCTTACAATCTTAAGGGAATAAGATGAGGTAATCTCAAATTAGAATTAGAGTACAGAAAAAACACTCGATTGTGCCCTAAGCAGTATTTTATAGGAAGCTTGGCTTATACAACATTATAGCCATCATAATGACACAATACTGGAATCTTTTTCTTTTATCTTTTTCCTGGAGACCTTAGTTACTGAAATATTTGATAAATAATTGTTAAATTTAATCTGTGATTTTGATTAAGGAGAAGACAGAAAGTAAAAACTAATACTCACCATAGACTTTTTACTGCCAGTTGAAGACTTACATCCTGCTAGACAAGGCGATATGTAAGTTATTCCATTGTTCCCACAGACTGGTTCCCATTGACTTTTATCACAATTGCAGTCAGAGTTGCAATAAGAAAGTGGTACATCTATATGAGATGTCACTGGATTATTTCTGAAAATATATGATAGACACACATCAAAAAGACAAGGAGAAAGACAAGATTAAGAAGAAGAGAATGAAGAGGGGAAGTAAAGGAGGAGGAGGGAAGAGAAAAGGGGAAAAGAGAAGAGACATAAGAGAAAGGATTTTCTTTTCATTAGATAGAGAAATTTGATTGAATCATACCAAAATGACAAAGTTTTTTTTAATGCTTATTCACTTTTCACCCTCTATCTTTAACAAGACATAACTTATAACCAGAAAAAAAGTAGAACCTAAAAAGAAACGAAAGACTCATGGGACATTGTCTAAGATTGACCATATTCTAGGACACAAAGCATGTCTCAAAAAATTAAAAAAAATCTGCATCTTCTCAGATCACAGTGGAATAAAAATAGAAATCAACCCCAACAGAAACTCTCATTGCTACACAAAGTCATGAAAATTAAACAACCTTCTGCTGAATGATTCCTTCAGAAATGAGGAAATAAAGATGGAAATCAAAAGATTCTTTGAACTAAATGACAAAGGTGACACAAGTTACCAAAATCTGTGGGACACAGCCAAAGTGGTCCTGAGAGGAAAATTTATCTTCATAAATGCCTATATCCAAAAGTCAAAAAGATCACAAATAGACAACCTAATGAATCGACTAAAAGAACTGGAAAAAGAACAACAGACTGACCCCAAACCCAGCAGAAGAAGGTAAATTAATAAGATCAAATCAGAACTAAAAGAAACTGACAACAGGGAAACTATACGGAAGATTAATAAAACAAAAAGTTGGTTCTTTGAAAAACAAAACAAAATTGACGCGCCTTTGACTAAACTAACAAAAAACAGAAAAGAAAAATCCCTAATAAGCTCCATCAGGAGCAAAAAAGGAGAAGTTACAACCGATGCCGTGGAGATTCAAGATATAATTTATGAATATTACAAAAACCTTTATGCACACAAACTGGAAAATATGAAGGAAATGGACAAATTTTTAGAAACACACAGCCTCCCTAGGCTCAACCAGGAAGAAACAAAATCCCTGAACAGATCAATATCAAGGACTGAAATTGAAACAGCAATAAAAAACATTTCAAAAAAGAAAAGTCCCAGACCAGATGGTTTCACACCCGAATTTTACCACACCTACAAAGAAGAACTGGTGCCTATCCTGCAGAAATTATTCCACAACATTG